AACAATGTCTTTCAAATAGCATAATTTTAAAAATTTAATGAAGTCCACTGTTTCAGAATGTTCGTTTTTAGCTTTGGTGAATTGTGGCTCAGGGTGCTTTGTGAAGCTACTCTCAGGGTGAAAAATCAGAACTAGTCATCTCAAGACCCAACTGGAGGAGGATATGCCTCCCAGCTAACTTACCTGGCTCTTGGCAGACCTTGTTTTTTGCCTTGAGACCCTCTTCATCTGCCTCATGACATGGCAGCTGGCTTCCCCTGGAGCAAGAGAGATAAGGGAGATCAAAAGAGTTTGAGCATGAAGGAAGATGCAGTCTTGATATTCTAATCAGCAAACAGCATCCTATTACTCTGTGACATTTGTGCCTCAGACCTGAGTCATTAAATCTAGTGCACACTTAAATGGAAGGATTTACACACAAGTATGAGTCCCTAAAGGGGCAGGAATAATTGGAGGTTATCTTATAGGCAATTTACCACAGTTCAGTCTCTGGTACTTAAAATTCATAACACTTTCACAGGAAAATACTCTCATCCCCTCCCAAGGTCAACCAAATTTTCATCCCATTGAGGTATAGGCTCAAAAATCTGGTATCTTATCATTCAGATCAGGTCCATGTATGAACTGCCTCTGGTGTAGTCCCTTATGCAAATTACTAGAATTATCCCACTTCATGGAAGGGAGCAGAGATCTCAACTACTTATGTAGCCATACATTAGGTCCTGGGAAGGCCCTGACTAGACCTTGTGGAAGGTTACACAAAGATTTAAGGCCAGTAATGAAGCTCCCAGGTCCTAGCCTGGGCCAATGATATGCAACATTAACGGCTTCATCTCCATCCTAAGAATGTACAAGACCTATCAGGCCCTCACTGGAAGGTCACCCATGGGTTAGTTAGTGATCAACATCTATGGTTCCCACCCCAAGCCACAGGGTTGGCCACGCCCAAGCCATTACCAAGGCCAGTCCATGCCTTGTCAGGGGATGCAGAGTGAAGCAGGCCTCCTCTCATCTAAGTCAGTGAGGCCTCAACTAGTTCATCCAGCCTGCACTGCAGCTTGTTGACTCCCTGAAAGGCCTCAGGTCTCCTTGATCCCTGGAGACCTTGTGTGCATGAGTCACAGGAGAGCACAAGTCAAGCAAGGAAATGAGCAAATCAAATCAAGAACTTAATGAGAGGGCAGTCATGGGTCAGAAAGCAGTCACTGTGCCTTCATAAGTTCTGGATGCACACTAGTCTGTAGCCAGACCATCAGCTTCTTCCCACTTCTGGGGAGGCCCAGGGCCAAGCAGGCATTTGGCTAGAGGTCACACGTAGGTCAGGCACCATACCCCTGTTCCCCTCCAAGGCTCTCCTCTTGGACTGTGACCCCAGGTCATAACTATTCACCAAGACCTTCTTTGTCCACAGCAGGAAATCACACACTTCAGAATTAAATCCATTTGATTAGGTGCACTCCTGGACCTCTCAAAGTCCCGGGCGTATTTCAGAAGAGATAGAGTTTGGCAGGCTGGGCCTTGACTAGCTCATCTAGTCTGCCATGATGACTCCTGAACTCCCAATGTCAGTGCTTCCTGCCTTGTGCAGTGTAGTCCCCCAGAGGTCCTCAGGAGAACAGGAAGAGGGATATTGGAACACTGGGATTCAAGGGAAAATCGGAGGAGGTCACAGGCAACACAGGAAGCTTTCCCCATGTATCATGCCCTTTTCTACACACCTGACCATTACCCCATGATCCATAGCCCTGCCCCTGCCTTAGACTGGGAGCCAGGCTCACAGACCCATCACAGAAAAAGGGTCAATTGCCAATGGCATCCATGAGGCACAACCCTACTCCTTAAACTACACTCACACTGATGCCATTAGCATGTGAGTATCCACGGGATGGAGACAAGTGGAGAGGGAGGTGGAAGTGAACGGGGGGAAAGAAGAGAACAGATCACACAGAGAAGAGTCACGAGATCAGACGGTAAGAGAGCAGGGAACATGGTGAAGGCATTGGGAATGGTGAGGGGTGTTGGGGAAGCTTGGTGTGTCCAGACAGTGTGCCAGTTTGGAGGTTGAAATCCACAGAGATGCTCATGGATTTGGGGTAGTTGATGGGCATGAGACATTGGTGAGTTTGGGAGAGTTGAAGTTTTCGTGTGTTTGAAGGTTGGTGTTTGGAAGGCTGCAGATTTGTGGAAGTTGGGGTGTTTGGGATAATTAAGTGTTTTGGACATTGTCTTGGGTCTGAAGAGTTTTGGAGTTCTGAAACACTGTGTAGTCTGGTGAGGATGAGGTTTAGAAGTTACCAGATTCGAGGAGGCATAGTGTTTGGAGAGTTCTGGGGTTTTTTTATGGAATTAATGGGGATTGAACCCAGGACCTCATGCATGCTAAGCATGCACTCTGCCACTGAGCTATACCCACACCTTTTAGGAAGTTTTGGAATTGGAGACATGGAGTGTTTTATGGAGGCTGAATGACTTAGGGTGTGTTTAAGAGTTTGATTAAATTAACAGATTTGAGGATTTGAGGAATTTGAAGAAGTTGATTGTCTTGGGGAGGATGATGGGTTTGGGACTGGGGGTAGCCCCTGCTGAGTGAAATAGAGTAGAGTGCAAAAGGTTCTGAATTTGTGGTTCCATTATCACTGATTAGTCCCATTGGGTAGGCAGGCATTAATCTTGCCCAATTTTCACACTTGATGAATGCAGAGCAGGGCTCCATTTGAAAAATTCTACCTAGAAAGGCATCCAGCCCTCAACTGGAAGTCGATTTGAAGAAAGCGATCAGTGTAGCTAAGATCATCATTCGTCTTCTTCTAGTACCTGTTCCCAGACCAACTGAAAGAAAATAAGATCAGGGGAATCAAAGACAAGAAGAGTGACAGAGACAGAAAGGGTAAGGAACAGGGTGAAAAGCAAGGATTGAGAGACAGAGCAGAGAACAGCATGACGGGGTAGGGATCAAAATGCAGGAAAAGGGAACAGTGATACAAATCAGAACAGAGAGCCTGAAACAAGAGGAGGGGGCAGAGAAAAGAGAGAAGCAAGAAGGGGCAGGTAACAGGGAAATAAAGGCAGTAAATGTTTCTGCACTGCAGGTGCAACTGAGGAAGCCAGTCCCAACTACACACCTGCACAAATACACTACAAGGTGCCTTGTTTCTTCTCCCAGCTATGTGTTCCTCTTCCCCACAATTCATACTGTATATATGGAAGTTCAGTTTCCCAGCATTCAGGAATCCAGAAGGAAAAGAACCCATAGTACAAGGGTCATCACAATGTGTCCAGAAAGGCACAGATAAGCTCCTAGTGGGGTTTACGAATGGTCAGTTCCAGAGCTCAAGATGCCTGGAGGCAAGAATAGTACTCAAAATGGTGGTTCAGTCCTGGGAACATAATGTTCTAGTGACCTCATGACAGAAGATGTGCTCAGAAAGGAACTTTTCCCCAGGCTTGTGGGTGGGGCCCAATACCTAAGTGTTCACGCAGAGGGTGAGAGGGTAAGTACCTCGAGACTGATTAACTCACCCCAAACAAGGAATTTCTCAGCCTACTTTGGAATGTAAGCACAATTACTCTCCTTAGCTGTCATATAAATGAACTCAAATACCCTTCAGTTGCCTTGATCATGTATAAAGAGGATTGAAGAGTATTTTTATGAACCCAGGGCCTTTTCATTGGGATTCCCTGGACACCAGAACTCAGTCCACTCTTTTAGCTAGAGCTAGGTCGTTTTTTAGTGTCTTGTATTTTGGTGGGAACATGGATGTGAGAAGCCTCGGTTAGTTTATCTGGTATGTAGAATCATGAAAAACCATATTTTGCTGACATGACAAGGACCACAGAATTTACCACAGCACAATGAGGGAAAGGGAGTTACAACTCTGGAAACTTCTGTTGTGAAAGGATGGAAGAGTTTACCCCCTCAATCTCCTGAGGAGAGAGTAATCAGTATCTACTTCTCCTAAGATTTCTCAGTGTAAATGGGAATCCTGTGGGCGATGGAGCTGGAGGCCGGTTGTCAGAGGCTTCGCCCCGCCGGGCTCCGTCGCGGGCTCCATTCAGCTGTCCAGGGGGAAAGGGTGTAAAGCCAGAGACCAAGAGAGAGCAAAGTGAGACCGACAAAGAGGAGTCAGATAAAGAGAGATACTGGAAGAGAGAAAACTAAAGAACGAATGAGAGATACAGGCCTAGAGAAAAAGACAGAGGTAAACAGAGCTGAAGGGATAAGGAACGAAGGGCACACAGAGATACAGAGACACTGACACCGGGAGAGAGACAGAGATGGAGACGCAAAGAGACATCCACATACAGAGAAAGACACTCAGAGACAAGCAGTAGCAGGCACGTCCACACGCGCGCTCGCCCTCACACTAAAACCGTCGGCTGGGACAGGCTGCTATTACTCAGGTTAAGACGATTGGATCCAGCCGCTGCACTCCTTTTCCTAAACACCCGCCAGGAGGCGGGTCCCAGCGGCGGGAGTCCCGCCCTACTCTCACCCAGCCAATGGTGGCGCGCAGAGGCCAGAGGGGCATTTTCCTCAACCAACGAGGACTCAGAAGCCTCCAAAAGCCACACCCACGAGCGCCCCAGTTAGGCCTGGGCTCCTAATCTGCACAATCCGCCCCTACAGCCCTAGCTTCGGAAGTAAGGCAGGCCCTGGTTCGCCTGCACATTGCCTTCCCAGACTCACCCCTCTGCGCCATGAGCATGTACGCGGCTCGCGCTTTCCTTCTTCCAGAGGCCGCGAGCCCTTCGCTTGGCTGAATACCCAGAGACCCAGGAATACTTCCTACGTCTGAGAGGCCCGCCTCTCGCCTAAGCAGCCGAGTCCCACAGGCTGGCCAGCCTGCGCACGGCACTCCGATTGGAAGCGGTGACTGTCCGTTAAGCATTTTCTCTGGGTCCGGACTCCACTCCACCCTCATTCCCCTGCCTGTCCTGGTGGATAAGGGAGGGCGACGTTGCCTCAATTCTAGCGAGCATGTCTATAGGCTGGGAATGAGTATCTACCGTGATTTAAGCCGCGAGCCTTCTCTAGTGAAGAGACGAATAGGCCCGAGCCTTCGATTGGGTGCGGAGAGATGTCAGTCAAGGGATGGGCGGGCATAGTAGCAACCCAACGCACAGTATTGGTGGAGATACGACGCGGACGGAGTAGGGGCGGAACGGCCGAAGGGATCCGACTTGTCTTGATTGGGCCATAGATGAGGCCGTACCTCCCTCCGTACTCCGGATTGGCTGGCCGTGAGGCGCGCCTCCATCACGCCGGCAGCCTTTCCTATGAGAAGTGGGACCCGCTGGCTTGTTAACCGCTCGTGTCAGTGCGGTGAGGATTGCAGACGGGGCTCTGGGTTCCCGAAGAGATCCGACGTAGATCCAGGAGTGGTGTGCGCTATCAACGGTGAGGTAATACCAGTGGGTGGCGGGAGAGAGGGTTCGTGCGCCTCAGCGAGCGAATAAAGCTCCGCAACCGGAAGTGCCTTTAGGGAGGCGTCACAGCCGGAAGTGTGGCAAGACAGCTGCCGCACCCGGAAGTGTGATGCTCCCGCAGGCTAAGGGAAGTAATGGTACCTGGCCAATTGAGATACTGGTTAAAACAGGTGTTTGTGTATCTTTATTTCCTGAGGCCCGATAGAACCGCCCTTTTCGGAAAGTGTTGGAGGTTGCGAGTATGTGATCATGTGTTTGAATGTCTCATCCTGTTGAAACTCGAGGGGAAATGAACCCCAGGAGTGTGTGCAAGGGAACCGGGCTCAACAAAAGCTTTTAAGAAGTTTCTTTTGCTACGGGTCGTCCTCCATTCCCCTCCCCCACAGGGATGTGCAGATGGAGGCGGGAGGAGACACTGCTGCCCCAGCCCCCGAGGATGCGGAGGACTTGGAGGACACGCGGTTCCCCAGTAAGGAGGCTAGAGACGGTGGAGGGGTTCACGAGGACCCTCCCGATCCTGGAGATGGGAGCTTGGAGAAGACAGGTATGCATTCCCCTCACTAGAGTCTTGGAAGGAGTCTCTGGAGGATGTTATTGTTTGGGAAGTTCCTTGGGGCACCAGAGAGGAGTCTTTTGGGACTCAGGGAGATAGTTTAGATCATAACTGGGTCAGTGGGAAGTCATTGTGGACTCACTTTGTAGTTTTTTAAATCATTGAGGAATGAAAAGAAAATCGGTGGGTGTTCACTGGAGAACTGATATGAATTTAGGTCACTGAGGAATCAAAAGTGATCAGTTGAGGTCAGAGAGGGGAACTGAGGGTTTAGGATGTTTAGGTCAATGAATGACCAAAAGATAGTTAATAAGGTCAAAGGGGAACTATTTAGAAGTCAGTGTCTTTGGGGGCTAGGTTATTTTTTACGTCATTGAGGTAGGAAAGGGAATCAGTGGGAGCCAGTCGGCACTCAGAGTATTTACACCATTGAGGAGCTGGTGGTAGTTGTTGGAGGGTGTCTTTAAGGAACCAGATCTTAGTGGATATTAACGGTTACCACTGGTCAGGAGACAGTGGACATCAATGAAATTATTTGGAGACTCAGAGGACCAGAAGGAAGATCTTCGAAGACTTTGATGTATGTGTAAAGTTATAGAGTGGAGGATCAGTGGGAGTCATTGGGGAATCAGTGCTCATTGACCACTTTGGAATTAGTGGATGTTAATGTGGTCATTGGGAAGGATCAATGGACATCACTGAAAATAAGTAGTTGGTGGAGGGGACTGAGAACTTTGGAAGTATTGGCAAGTATTGGGAGGAGGTAATTAGGGACAGTGGGGGTCAGTGAATGTCAGTGAGATAATGAGAGAATATGAGGTCATTGGGATTTTAGGGAAAAATTATTGATACATAGTTGCCAGTGGATAATAATGGTTGTCACTGAGATCAGTGGACATTGAAATAAGTGGGAGGATAGTCAGTGGAGGGCAATGAAGTCATGCATTTCATTGGTGAATGTTAATGATGGTCGTGAGAAAGGGCAACAGAGGTCATTAAAGTCCTATGTGTTTGTATGTATTTTGATGGTTATTGTAGGGAGGGGAGTGGGTATCAATGAGAGTAAAGGGGGTTCAGGTGTGTCAGAAGAGGTCATTAGAAGTCTTGGATGTTAGCAGAGGTTAATGTGGGTCATTGTTGGAAATGCAGTGGACATGGAGAAGAAGTAAATTGTGAGTCAGAGCAATCATTGAAGATTATTGAAGACCCAGGTATTAGTGATGTGGGGGTCATTGGAATGTTAGTGACCATCAGTGGAATGAATAGGAGTTAGGGGAGTCCTAAAGATCTGGATGTTAATGGTTAATCTTGGCAATCTTTGGGAGAATCATTGGTCATCACCAAGAATATAAATGGGTGACCGGGAGAGTGAATGGGGTCATTAGGATTAGTGGACACCAATCAGAATAAATAAGGGGTTAGGGTAGTGAGGGGAGCATTCAAAGATACAAATGTTAGTAGATATAATGGTGGCTGTTAAGGAGTGAGTAGATACTAGGAGAATAAATGAGGGGTCAGAGATATTAATGGGGGATCATTGAAGATGAAGATATTAACAATCATTCAGAGGCAATGGGGTGCTTTGAAGACTTGGGAACGGCAGTTATTGAAAGGGGAACAGTTGGTCTGTAGGGATATAAAGGGCCCAATAATGACAAAAGATGTGATTATTGGGGTCTTAGGGGGATCACTGAAACCTAAGTGTTAGTGGACACTGAGGGGTAGAGGAGCTGCCTGGAGGTCTATGTCAGCATCAGGCAAGAGTTATCGGGGTGCTGGTAAGGATTTGGTGGGTCTTCAGGCACAGGGGGTTAGTCCAGTCAGGTGACCTCCCAGGGGCTCCCTTTCAGAATCTGATACCGAGGACCAGTCACCTGGCCTGCTGCCCCAGTCAGAGGCTCCATCATGCACCTATGGGCTCTGGGATCCTGCAGCCTCTGAGAATAGTCCCCCAGGTGGCCCTGAGAGTGGCTCAGGGAGCCAGGGCGGGGACCCCAGTGATGAGGACTGGCGCAGCAAGCGGAAGCACGTGTTTGTGCTGAGCGAGGCAGGCAAGCCCATCTACTCGCGTTACGGTAGCGTGGAGGCCCTGTCAACGACCATGGGTGTGATGACAGCCCTCGTGTCCTTCGTGCAGAGTGCAGGAGATGCCATCCGTGCCATCTATGCTGGTGAGCAAAGGGGCAGGAGGCGGATCAGAGGATGGTGACTGGGAATACGTCTGTCTGTCTGTCTGGAGTAGGTCTGTCTGTCTCTCTGTCCTGGGGACTGTCCAGCTACTTAGGAGTGAATCAGTATGTGGGGATGCTGGCCAGGCGTCTGTCAAGGGGGTCTGTCTGTTTGCCCTGCTGGCTTCTGAGTGATTGACTCACTGGGATCTGAGTAACTGGCTGGATACTCCCTTGTCCAAGAGCGTGACTTTGGGGGCCGTGTGGCTGAATTGGGTGTCTTTCTAGCTCTATTAGTCCTTGCTCCATCTTCCTCACTCTGCTATGTGCCTGATTCCTTGACCATCCCATCACATCTTTATAAATGTCCACACTCCACCAGCTTGTCCTTCCTCTAGTCTGAGTGCGTAGAGTGACCACGTGGGCTTGGACCAGGAGTGTGTGTGTCCAAGGGAAGGGTAGAAGAGCCCCACCTGACCCCCTCCCATCACCACTGACCCATCTCTACCACCTGACCCCTCTCTGCCCTCCCCCAGAGGACCACAAGCTGGTGTTCCTGCAGCAGGGCCCACTGCTGCTGGTGGCCGTGTCCAGGACTCCGCAGTCAGCAGCCCAGCTGCGGGGGGAGCTGCTAGCTGTACACGCCCAGATCGTGAGCACGCTGACCCGCGCGAGTGTGGCCCGCATCTTCGCGCGCAAGCAGAACTACGACCTCCGCCGCCTGCTGGCCGGCTCGGAGCGCACTCTGGATCGGCTTCTGGACAGCGTGGAGCGGGACCCAGGGGCCCTGCTGCTGGGCGCCGTGCGCTGTGTGCCTCTTGCCCGCCCGCTGCGGGATGCGCTGGGTGCGCTTCTCCGACGCTGCACGGCGCCTGGCCTGGCCCTCTCGGTGCTGGCGGTTGGCGGTCGACTGGTGACGGCAGCCCAGGAGCGGACTGTGCTGGCCGAGTGCCGGCTGGACCCAGCCGACCTGCAGTTGCTGCTGGACTGGGTGGGCGCCCCAGCCTTTGCAGCAGGTGAGGCGTGGGCGCCTGTGTGCCTGCCCCGCTTCAATCCCGATGGTTTCTTCTACGCCTATGTGGCCCGCCTGGACGCCATGCCTGTCTGCCTGCTGCTGCTCGGCACCGACCCCGAGGCCTTCCATGACATGGCCACCTGCCGGCGCCTGGTGGAAGACGGCATGCACACCCTGGGTGCCATGCGAGCCCTCAGGGAGGCCGCCAGCTTCTCTAATGCCCCATCAGCCAGTGCCTCTGCCTACAGTGTGCAGGCCGTGGGGGCACCTGGCCTCCGGCACTTCCTCTATAAGCCGCTGGACATCCCCGACCATCACCGCCAGCTGCCCCAGTTTACCAGGTGGGCCCCAATCTTGTGGGCAGTTGGCCGGGTGGGAAGGTTCAGCAACTAATAGGCATGACTCTGGAAAGAGAGCCAGCCATGCTCTTGAAGATGGAATAGAATGGGTCTCTGCCTGATGAGGGAGCCTCAGCCAAACACCTCAAGGAATCCCCTATTTTATGGAGGAGAGGGCCCCAGTACTCAAGGAATCCACAAGTTTGATGGGGAGGTTAGGCCTCAAGCCGCTGGGAGTCCTCCAGTCTAATGGGTGAGGCTCTGCTGACTAACTTAATTGAACTCCCCAGACTGAGGGGAGGTGGGCCAGCCAAGAAAGCCCTAGAGTGACCTGGTCGCCCATCTCCCTTCATCACTGCAGCCCTGAGCTGGAGGCCCCATACAGCCGAGAGGAGGAGCGGCAGCGCCTGTCAGACCTGTACCACCGCCTCCACGCGCGCCTGCACAACACCTCCCGGCCCCTGCGCCTCATTTACCATGTGGCAGAGAAGGAGACACTGCTGGCCTGGGTGAGTTAGGTCAGGCTTTGAAGGAGTTAATAATTCCCCACCTCAGGCCTTCTTTCCTTCTCCATAACATCCTCATTCAGACACATCACACCTTTGCCTGGGCTGTGGTTTTGCCTTCAGCACTATTCCATTACATGTGTCCTTGAAACCCATCAGTCACAGTGTCTAAAACCTCTTAGTCCCATCATTCTGTTGGCTCTTCCCCCATTAGCCACCAGTACAGTGTTTTCGACTTTTTTTATTCTTTTCCTATTCCTGCTCTATTGAGAAGTAATTGCCATATAACACTGTGTAAGTTTAAGGTACCCAATGTAATTTGGTATATAGATATACTGCGAAATAATTACCACAATAAGGTTAGTTAACACATCCATCATCTCACAGAGTTGTTTTTCTGTTATTGATGTGCTGAGAATTTTTAAGATTTACTCCCTTAGCAACTCTCAAGCATACAATACAGTATATATATATATACACTATATTATGTAGTATATACTACAGTCATAATATAGTCACCAGACTGTACATTACATCCCCAGAACTTACTCATCTTATAACTGCAAGTGTATGCTCTTTGACTATCCTCACCCAATCCCCCAACCCTGGCAACCACCAATTTGCTTTCTGTTTCCTATGAGTTCAGTTTTTAAAATTCCACATACAAGTGAGATCATGCAGTATTTGTCTTTCTCTATTTCACTTAGCACCCTGCCCTTAAGTTCCAACCATATGATTGAAAATATAAGAATTTTCTTTTTATGGCTGATTAATACTCCATTGTACACATATACCATATTTTTTCTCCATTCATCTGTCAGTGGCCACCTAACAGTGTTTTCGACTTTTAAGAGACCCCATTAACAGCCCATCACTGGGCCTACTGATTTCCCATTCACCCTGCTCCTGTGTCTGCAGGTACCAGTTGAGTTTTGATTCCATGAGTCCCGCAGCAGTCTTCATTCACAATAGGCTTGGTCTAATGCTGTGCCTTCCACCTGGGGTATCCTTCCCTGGGGTCTCTTCAGGGCTTCTCTCCACCTCCTGTGGGTCTTCTAAAGGTCAGCTATTTCAGGGAGTTTGGTCAAGGTGACCCCATTGGAAATGGCACCTTCCCCTAGATTCTGCCATTTAGTGCACATTTGTTAAATCACTTATTGCACATGGTTATATATCAGGCATTGTTCTAGACTGAGAATTTTAATTTTTAATTTTTTTAGCTTTTCATTTTCAAGCAATTTTAGACTTACAAAGGAGTTGCAGAATAGTACAAAAAATTACTATAAATAGGCCCTTCACCAGGTTTCTCCAGATATTGATATAACCATAGGAACTTACCAAAATCAGGGAATTAACTTCAGTACAGTAACATCTTTTCCACAGACTTCATTCAGACTTCACCAGGTATCCCACAAATGTTCATTTACTGGTCCAGAATCCAGTCCAGGATCACATGTTAGGTACACTTACTGTGTCTTCCTCATCTGGTTTATTCTGGAACATTTCCTCCATCTTTCTTTGTCTTTCATGACCTGGGCCCTTTAAGAAAGTACCAGCCAGTCAGTTTATAGAATGTCCCTCCGCTTGGGTTTTTCTCGTATTTTATCAGGACTGAATTGGGGTCACTCATTTTTGGCAAGTGTATCACAGAAGTGGTGTTGTGGCTTTCTCTGCTTCCTTTCAGGAGGACCATATGTCCCTGTGTCCTATTGTGCATGTTAACTTTTGATCACTTCGTTAAGGTGGTGTCTGCCAGATCTCTTTCAAGTTAGTCATTCACACTTTGTAATTAGTAAATATCTTGTGGTGATCATGTCAGTGTTTTCTTTTTCACCACATTTTCATCCACTAATTTTAATATCCATTTATTATTCTTGCCTGCAATAGTTGTTACTCGGATATTAACCAGATGGTGATTTTTGTAAGTCCATCATCCCTTCTACATTTATTGGTTGAGATTCTACTATATGGGAGAACTTTCCCTCCTATTGTTTTGTTTAATTTTGAATTTTATTTCATGGATTTTTCTTGAATTCAGTGGGCTAAACTCTTTTGTGATCAAATTGTCTCTGATTTAGTCAGCGGGAGCTGTGGTTTAGCCAGGCTGGCCCCTATGTCTCTGACATGTCTGTATCACTGCTTAAACACTTCTTGCCTTCTGGCACAAGGTGTTCCAAGTTGATGTTGTACTTTCTCTGTGCCAGCACAGAAATCAGCCATCTGTCCAAGGAGCCCTTGTACCTTTTAGTAGAGAATGGTATTTCCAAACAAAGCTATAGTGGGCCTAGGATTTTAAATCGGGTGGTCAGGAGATGACATCTAAGTGTGAGGGGAGGGAGTAGGCCATGTGGGTATCTGGAGGAAGAGTCCTTATGGCAGAGGGAAAGGACTGTGCAAATGCTATGAGGTGGGGCTGAGCCGGGTTATGTCTGAGGAACAGCTAGAGTGGCTAGAATGGAGGGAGAGCAGGGAAAGGGGTGTGGAAAGGTGCTGGTGACCTGGTTGGGTTAAGCCTCTCAGAGGGTTAAGCCTCTCAGATTTGTGTGAAGATTAAATTGGATTAACTTTTATATTATGCCCAGACTACAGATGATAAAAACATAGGTGTGTGTTGCTTAGAACAGGACCTTTACACAACAATTGCTCATTAAATGTTAAACATTGTTGTTGTTATTATCCTCAAGCCACAGATGAGCAAACTGAAGTCCAGAGAGCATACACACACACACACACACACACACACACGCAGCCAGCATCCCAAATGAAGCCACTAGATCTTGCTGATCCCTCAGCCCACTCATGATGCAATAATGTCAGCTTACCTGCTTTAGCCCAGTGACCAGGCAGCACCAGGTAGGAGGTGCTGCCAGGTGCATCTTCCAAACAGGAAATAGGTGTGGGACTTGGGTGGGGTGGACAACATTGGGCATGGCCAGCTCCGGCCCAGCTAATTCTGTCTCCTACGGTATCCCCAGGTGACCTCCAAATTTGAGCTGTACACCTGCCTCAGCCCCCTAGTGACCAAGGCAGGAGCCATCCTCGTAGTGACCAAACTCCTGCGTTGGGTGAAGAAAGAGGAAGATCGGCTGTTCATTCGTTACCCACCCAAGTACTCCACACCCCCAGCAGCGCCAGCTGCCTCTGCAGACCAAGCTTCGCATAATGGCTTATTCTCAGGACCCTGAGAGGCAGAGCTCCCAGACTGGGCAGTGCTGGGAACCACCACCTTTGGCTTTAAACTTCTCTCTCCACCCTGGAAATGGGGCGGGGTGGGAGGTTGGAGGCGGTGGGGTCTGTGTCTGGTCCCTGTCTCCCTGGGCAGTGGAGCACGATCTGCAGAGCTGCCTACAAATGAGAAATGGGTGGCAGAGTGACTGCACACAGGGGAGCAGGCTGCTTCCTCAGCACCCCCGGCCCCTTCCCCTCTGTGGAAATCCTTAGGCTCCCACTTCCCATCCCTGTGCCTAGTCTCCTCCACGATGTTCTAGCCTCTGTCAGGGACTGTCTCCTCCAATACTGGGCACCACCCACTCTGTCCTGCATCAGGGGTCTGCCTCCTCCGTGGGAATCTCAGCCCTTAGTGTCCCAGGCCGGCCAAGGTCTCTTTGGGTGGCCACGGGGGTTCTGGAATTGGAAATGCAGGACCAGCCTGTGCCGAGAAACAGCCAAAGGATATTTTAAAGAAGAAACTGCACATAAAAGGCCTAAAACCAATCCTTACAAGAACATCCTTTGCCCTTCATGTACTTTTATCTTTACCCAGGCAAAAATGACCCCACGTGTGTTGGCTGCTGCTAAAGTAATGAGACAGTGTCCTCCAGCGTCCTGTCTGTGTAACCCGGGGCAAAGGACCTGATGTCACATGGTGGCTGAGGTCCAGAATCTTTACACAGGAGGTGCACTTGGCTTCTAAGGCTCATTCTCATTAATGAAATGGAGATAACTAACCTCTCAGACTGTTCAGTGAGGATTTGTGACCGAAAAGGGACTCGAACTCTTGTGTACCGCCGCACGGCGCATGCACATTTGTCCCAGATTTTCACTACCTGCACAGCACAAGCAACCTGGAGAGGGAGAGAGACCTCCTTGCAATTTCCATGTGTGGGTACAACACTCACTGCCTGATGACCAAGACCCTAATCTTGCCCTCGTTTTGTCGCACCCGGACTTGCGGGCCTTATGTGTACGCATGCGCGGTAACTGTCGCTCCGGGCTCCTGGCGGCCCACTTCCGGGAGCTGAAACCGTCTTTGCGCCTCACACCGGACGCATGCGCACTGCCCAGCGTTGCCCGACTTCCGTTTAAACCAATCATCTCAAGGCGCATGCGGGTCGGCTTCACGCTGGAAAATGGCGGGGAGGTTGGAGCTTCTGGAAGTGGAGCCGCCGGAGGTCGCGTCGGAGGCTGAAGGTAGTGAGGGCCTCCGGGCCTCTCCTGGCCAGGGCAGAAGGGAGGGAGCTTTCGTCCCCTTACAGTAATGAAATATTGGTAGCAGTACCAAAGTAATAATAATAAGTAAAATGCAAAATTGTAAGCCTTTTATTTAAAAAAATTGCTGTTCAACAAAGTGGAGATAAATGATATGTATATTCACATCATCTAGATTAACTGTCGTCAGCTTTATTGGCTATATTGCTTATGTATTTGAAAGTAAACAATAGACTAAATAGTTCCATATGCATCTCTTCAAACAAAAAAGGGGTGGATGTTCTCACAAAACCCACTTGGCTGCTGCCACATTCTAAGAAAATTACCAGTAATTCCTCAATATCATCATTCTACACCCAGCCCATATCACACTTTGCATGGACTCTTAAATCTTAATCATGAATGGCCACTCCTACAGACAGCTGTTCTTCCTCCAGGGCGTTTTGTTGACAATGACACCCCCACACCCGAGTGAGAGGAAAAGCAAAATTGTCCTAGAGACAGTTGGAAACTGCAGTCCAGCCGAAAGAGGAAAATCTCCCATGACAATGATCCACTGCTATGCCACTAGCAATTTTTTTATTATAGAAATTTTCAAAATGTACCAAAGCATAGGAAATAGCATGATGAATGCCCATGTACCCATCACTCTTGTTTCAACAATTGTCCACTCTTTGCCCTCCTTTCATCTATATTTGACCCCCTCTTCCTACACACTCTTTAAACCACCTTATTAATAAACACATTGAATTCCTTCTTTTCAGACCTATCTATGCAGGTGGCAAAAATAATTATGATTATGTACTTGTTCGTTGTCCTAGGATGTGAGCTTCGTGAGAACAGACTGTTTATTGCACCTAAAACAATGCCTGCTTGGCATATAGTAGGTGTTCAGTTGTTTTCTTTTCCTTTTTTTGTTGTTGTAGGAATAATGAAATAACAACACTGTGAGCTCTCTTAGATGATACCTTCATGTTAAATGCAAACTTTTCAACAAGAAATGACTGATGCAAATAGGTCTCCCTTATTAAGCACTTATTACAGGTGCCACTGCTAAAACAAAACAAAAAGCTATTATTATCAAGCTTTCCAATTAAAAGGGAAGTTATGATTAACTTCACCAGCAATGGAGAAAATTGAAAAGCAAAGCATATTAAGTTACCATTTCTAACCCATCAAAATTGGCTTTACAGAGGGAGGGATATTTGGTATTGATCACTGGCAGAACAGGACTTCTCTTGCCTCAGTGGCAGAACTGACCAGTAAAGGCTTTGCTAGAGGCAGTTTGGCAGAGTATTTTTAGCATCTAAAATTCTATTTCATATCTTCAATCATATAGAATACACGATGTGTGGATCAGGAAGTGTCATTAGAACACTGTTGATGGAAGCAAAACACAGGAGCAGTCACGGGAATGGCTAAATTTATGTATATCCATGCATTGTGGAATGCCTGAGTAATGGATGTTTTTTTCTTAAGGGGCAGAAAAAAATAATTAAATTCCACTTTAATTTAATGAATCAAAATTAACTTTAAAAGGATAAGATCATGGTTCATTGACCCTGAGTGTACTTAAAAAGAAATCATTCTTATGAGAGAAAAGCAAGTTGGGGTTGAAAAAAGAAAAAAAAAAAAAGGGGCAGTTCAGCTATAGCCCTGTGTGTGTTGCATAGAAAAATGTCTGAAGGCTAAAGGCTTAACTGATGACTCTGATCAAGGGACTTGGATTTGGGGGGCTGTGCAGAAGTGGAGGCACTTTTGTAATTTTCTTTTAAGGAAAATGTAAGTAGTACTAGATAACTTTAAAATATAAGGGGGAAATTGTTGAATGGCATCTGAGGATCATACATTAATATTGGTCAGTATGAGCACCTCAGTTTTGATGGTTATACTGTGGTTACTTGGTAGAGTCCCTTTGTAAATAGGAAATATACATTGGAATATTAAGACATAATGGGTCATGATGCCTGCCTGCAATTTATGTACAGAAACGCTCACAAATGGGAAATCTGATAAAAGGGCAGATAGGAGCACTGTGGCCTATTTCTACAATGTTTATGTACATCTGAAATTATTTCCAAATAAAGTGTTTCAAAGGAGCTCATACTCTATAGACTCTTTTGTTTTGTAACATTGATTTTTTAAAAAATTTTGTCAACGTGTTAGTTGGACTAGTTAAAAGATTTACTAGTCACTCATGATCTTACTGCATAAAGACTAGAAATGCAGTGAACAGGAAAAACGCAGGTGGAGCTTTCGCAGAAATGGTTGCAAAAGCCAACTGTAAAAGACACATGGAGACAGTTGGGGAGACCACATTTGTTGTGGGTATTTGATGATATGAATGATCCAATGATTAGTGACCATTGTTTATCTTGTCGGTGTGATTATAGGATTGGAGTCATCTAAGAAAATGCTCTCTAGTAGTTGAGAGTCTTAATGAAGTATCTCGGGATGAAATGTCATTAAGTCTGGGGCTTGCTTGAAAATAATTCAGCACAAGAAAACTACAGCTGAAGTAAATATGGGTGGATATTAATGACTGTCAGATCTGGCCAATGAGTAACCCAGTGTTTATCATGATACCTCTTTCATGTGGATTTGGAAATTTTCATAATATTAAAAAGAAAACATGTAACTAGGAACCCCTCCCATTGTTATTAAAGGAGATTTAATTTTCTTTATTTCATTCCAAATATTGAATTTAAAAGTCTTCAGAGGAGACATACCAACCTATTATTGATATATCAGAGAAAGGCAATGAGATTTAGAACCAAGGAGAGAAAGGGAAATTTCATTTTAACCTCTATTTCTGTAGTGTTTTAATGTTTTTAGAATGTTACTTGGGTAAGTGAAAATTAGAGCAATACGTAAGATACTTTTTACCAAAAGTTCTAAGTGTCTTCACCAGACTTGGCAGTGGTTACTTCTGGGAAGGGGAGTGACTTGGATAAGGGGCTGGCTGTTGGAGAGGGGAGACTTACTTTTTACTCCATGTTCTACATTTGTTTATTAAGCAATTTAAAAATTCAAATGCAAAATTCAATTAATACATACTAATTTGTAGAAGATTCAGGCAAGACAAAAAGACAAAAAGATGTCTTTTTGTCAGGCAAGACAAAAAGATGTAAAGAAAATGCACATACCACCAGACATTTCAACAAAATTTAATAAGCTCAGGTTAAGAACTCTATTTACAACATGAGTTTTAATGGCTGCAAAGAATTTTATCCTATGAATGTGGTAATCAACTAAAGTATCTTTAGGTTGCTTCTGTCTTGTAAGATTACAAACAATGAAAGGATGAACATCTTGCCCACTGTCTTTAATTATTTCCTTAATATAGATGCCTAGAGGTGGAATTTCTGATCCAGAGGAGTACATTTTTGATACATACTATCAGAAAGTTCGAAATGAAATACTGTGTTTGTCTATGAGGTTGGCAAAAATGACAAAGGTTGAAAACATATTGGTAAGAGTATGAGGAAGGAGTCTTTTGTGGGCTTCCAGGTGGAGGGCAATATCATAGTACCAGTCAGCTTTAATACTATATGTGCCCTTTGATCCAACAAGTAGCCTTCTAGGAGTTCATCCAGTAATACATTCCCATACATGCACAAGGAAGAATGTATAGCGATACTGCACTGGATTGACTTGTGTTCCCCGCACAATTTGTGTCCACCAGAACCTCAGAATGTGACCTTATTTGGGAAAAGAGTGTCTAGATATAACTCATTAAGATTAGGTCATGCTGAATAAAGGTGGGCCCTAATATAATGACTGGTGTCCTTATAAGAAGAGGGAAATTTGGACATGCAAAGATAGAATTTAAGGTGAGGCACAGACACAAACATAAGAAAGACCCAGTTTATGGTGTTTTGTTATGGCAGCCTGAGAAAACTAACCCAGATGGTCACTGTGGCATTGTTTGTAACAGCAAAAGAATATCACCCATCAGTAGGGGACTGCTTAAGAAGATCATCAGTCTACATTGTCAAATGAAAAATACAAGCTGTGAAATGCCACTTAGGACATGACACCACTTACATAGGAAGAGTGGGCCTATGTATCTATGTGAATTGAATGGTCTCCAAATACACACAAAGAGCAGTAACACTAGCAGCCTTGCCGAGGGGAATTGAGGAACTTAGGGACTCGGGGGAGGGACTTTTCACTGTATGCTACTGCGGGTAAACATTCACTTTTTGCCTGTCATATATGTTCTGTGAGCTGCCTTTCATCTTCTGTGCCCAATTTTCCTTGGAGTGTAGTGGGTCACTGGGAACTGGCCTTTATCCTTGATTTCAAGAGTTTAAGACCTTGGTATTTTTCTTGTGTTTTTGTTGTTATGATTTTATAAATAACACAGGCTCATGTTAAAAATATATAGACAGATGCATGGCAAAATTGTATTTGAATCAGGATCCAAATAAGGTCTGTTCACTATAATTGATTGCTGTATGTCTCCAATCTCTTTTAATCTATACAGTTCCGCTCTCCCTCTTTTCCTTCTTTGCAGTTTATTTGTTGAAGAGACCAAATTGTCTAATGGAGTTTCCCAGAGTCTGGATGATGCTGTTTTCATCCTCTTGGTGTCATTTAACATTTTTTTGTCCCTTATATTTCCTCTGAATTGGGATTTAGATATAGAAACCTGAAATGGAAACCTGACTGATAGGCAGTGCCGCGTTCTTCAATTAGGAGGCTCATAATAGCCAGTTTTTTTTTTAAGCAGCCATTTGTAAACCATTTCTGAGACCCATCAGTTCTTTAAGAATGTGTAAATTGTGGCCAATTGTGATTTTTAAAGAAACTCATATGAAGTCATTCTGCCCTGTTCCATTGATTAAAACTTCATACTGATCTTGAACCACAGCAGCAGCAGAAGTGCATCCCTGTCTCTTATCCCTGAATTCCATTAAGGGGATGTCTGTGCTGTTCTTTGACATCTCAGGGAGAAGCTGACCGTTAGAGGTCTTGATTCATCCAGCACACACCATCAACCTTAGAGACAAAAGACAGAGGTCCTGCAGGAACCCTGCTCTGGCTGGAACGCTGCCCCTAGCTTATCCCTGGTTCAGCCCAGGGGTGTCCTCAGAACCCACCGAGGCTATCTTCCTTCTTAGAGAAGATTGAACCTTTCTTGGTCCCCTCTCACTCTTGCCGGATGCTGTAATTCTGGTTTTCATCTTTACAGGTCAGACCAAGTCTTCAAAGAAGACTGAAGATTTGCTGGAAATGGTGAAAAAGCTGCAGAAAGGTCATGTGTCTCCTTGTATCTGAAGCTCAGCCTGGGGTTTTGGTTGAAACCCAGCCTCCTCAACTCACAACCTTGGGAAGTTATCCCATTGCACTTTCTCCCTCTTACACAATTTAATTCTTTGAACCAAAACTACAGTTTCAAAATTCAAGAAGTATAAGGGGATGGAAAAACCCTACCCCCCCACACACATATGCACACACAGACACACAGACACACACCAGCCATCCATTTCCCTGACCCACAGGATAGCAGCAACTGTTTTTAAATTCTTAGTTATTTTTCCAGGAATTTAAAAAAATACATTCTTGGGTGTATATCCTTTGTCCTCCTTTTTTATATTCAAATAAAAAAACTTTGCACCTTGCTTTGTTGGTTGACGGGAGACTGAGAGCCAGTCTGCATCCAGTACCCACTTCAGGGCTGGGTCAGAGTGCTGGCTGGGTTTGAGGTTGGATTCTCCCCAGCCCATCAGCTGCTTAAAATATTACAGTGCGCTGGTCTGTTCCAAGTAAATGGAAACCTCCCCTTTCCCCAACTCTGTGCCCACTTGCAAAAGCACATTGGAGCTGCTGCCTAGGCTAAAATTAGGTAGAGAAGTTGCAGGATTGAAAATGCAGAGTGACCAGGACCATCTTCAGTAAAACAAAGACCCCAGGATTTGTGTCATAATCTACACCTTAAAGAGCACTCAGTCTCCTGGAAGTCAGAGTTGGATGGAGTTGGTGACCTCTGAAAATCCAGAACTTGAAACTTAACTCCAGTTGTCTTAGGGGTTGGGAGTGAGACCCAGGAAGGGTTGGGCATATTTTTGCCTCAACGCTGTGCTGCCAACCTTGAAGGCTTCTCCATACAGAGCACTGAAATTCAGACTATGGGAAGTTAGAGGTGACTCCCTCAAGAGACAGAGATCTCCCTGTCACTGGAGAATTTGATAGCTGTCACCCACAAAATGGAAGTGGCATTTTCCCTATATCTCAAATGAGGTCAACACCAGAGTCCAGACGGACAGAAGAGACAACCACCCTGCCAGGCTTTTAATAGGGTGGGGCAGACAGGAGGTCTCCGCTGTCTCCCACCACCTCCAGAATTACATCTCAAAGCCCCTACCATGTCCCAGGAGGCCCTGAGCAATCTGCCACCCCCTCCACCATCCCCCCGCCTTGCCTCCTGCTACTTTCCACGTACTCACTGGACTCACCAGCCATGCCATCTCCTTCGCAGGTACTCTGGGCATGTGCCCCACTCGCTCCCACTGCAGGGGCTTTTGCATCATCGTCCCTCTGCCTGGCATGGTTCTTCCTCCACACTCCCCGCCCCACAGAACTGCAAGGCCCTGTTGCCTCACTTCATTTGGGGCCTTTCCATATCTCAAAACACCTTCTACCCTTTCACTCTTCAACCCCTTGCTTCACTTTATTTCCATTCACAGCAGTTACTGCCACCAGCATTGGCCTCATGTATCTTTGTTCAGTGTCTGTCTCTCCTACCTAGAAGGCAAAGCCCTGCAAGGGTTTCTTACAGAGCCCGGCACATAGAAGGCACTCAATAAATGCTGATTAAGAACAGCAGAGACACAGTGCCAACACCCATCGCCTCCTTCTGCCCTGGACAGCCTGGGGTCTGCCTTCTCTGGCTCAATCTTTCCTTCTTTCTGCAGAGGGTAGCCTGGAGCCACAGATCAAAGATCTGATCAACCGGATTAATGAACTTCAGCAAGGTAAACTCCAGGACCTATGCTGGCCAGCTGGCCGAGAAGAACCTGGGCTCTGAATTCCTCCACTTCCTCTTCTATCAGATCCAGGCCCCTCCAGGTTGTCTGAAGATGAGCGTGCAGGGTCATGGGCTGTGAGAGAATAGCAAGGCTTGGGGCTGCATTAATACCATGTCTTCTCCCCTTTCACCCAGCAAAGAAGAAATCCAGCGAGGAACTGGGAGAAGCCCAAGCTCTCTGGGAGGCCCTGCATAAGGAACTGGACTCCTGTAAGTGGGACCAAAAGAGGGACCCAGAGATCTCACAACCAGTGCCAGTGTTCCTGTGCACACCTCAGGGCCTTTGCACAGGCTGTTCCCTCCACCTGGGAACCCTGCACATGCATTCTGCACAAGGAAGCACTGCCATCCTTCTCTCCCCCAGCACTTACAGGGCGTGTGAGCCCCAAGGGGGAGAAGCTGGACCAGGGTGGCCCCCAGCGGATGATGGGTGCAGGGTTGGTGAGAAAATGCTTCGCCTCCCCTAAGGCTGTACCATACATACCTTCTGTGTGACTTCGGCCTTCCCTTTGCATGAAGTTGCAGTGGGGGCATAGGAGGTGGCCCTTGGAGACTCAGACTGTCACTGTCTTTTCCAGTGAATGGAGAGAAAGTGCACCTAGAGGAGATTTTGAGCAAAAAGCAAGGTATTTACCAGCTGCTTCATCCTCGTTATTCTGCCCCATCAGCCCACAAAAGCCTGAAGTTCCCAGAGCAGCCAGAGAGATCCCCCGGAAACCTGAGTCAGGGTGCTTCTCTCTCTGCTCAGGTCTCTCCCTTGGCTGCCACCTGACTTGGCATGAACACTAAAGTCCTCCCTCCAATGCCCAGTGTGATGTGGGGCCCATTTCTTCTACACAACCCTGACTCCCCAGGAGCTCTCACAAAGTCCCTGGGTTTCTCTCCCCACAGAGGCACTGAGGACCCTCCAGCTGCACTGCCAAAGGACGGACCGTGAGGCCCAGAGGTAAGAAGTCTTGCCTGACTCTTCCCTGTCTTATTCCCCAGCCTGAAGGAGGAGGGGGCACGAGCAAGGGAAAATAAATCTTGGGAAAATAAACCTTTTCTATAAAATCAAGTAGTTGGACAAGAGACTCCCCCTGCTCATCTCTGATACTCAGTGGTGATGTTAAGATGAACGCACTCATTTAATCATTCATTGCTAGTTTCTTTATCAAATAAATTTCATCCATTGGTATTATTCTAAGGCTTCCTCTGCTGGTTATCCAGCTCTTCTGCCATATACTCATTTGTTTATCTGTCTGCTCATTTATGCCGCCAGCCACTCATTTACCCGCCTATCCATCTACCTTCCCATCCACCTGTTCTCCCATTCATCCATCCATACGTCTGTCCAACTATCCGCCTCTTTATCCAGCCAGACAGACAGCCATTATCTCTCCAACCTTCCATCAAATCATCTTTCATCCATCCAGTCATTCATTCATCTTCTTTCCACCTTTATAGTCATCCATTCATCTAATTGTTCTTCACTCCACTATCCATTCAGACATCTATTCCTCCTTCTGACAATCCCTCCTTTATTTCTCCATCCACTCATCATCCCTTCACTTGTCATTTCTCTAATGAGACATCATCTCTCCGCCTACCAGTCACCCATCCAATTAACTGTTCATCCAGCCACCTATCCATCCATCTCTCCATCCTTTGATAGTTTACATAACACATTCTTGTGACCAGAGGTCTCACACTGTGGTGTATCATGATTTTAATAATGTGGGAAAACTTGATGATAAAGTATATATGCTTAACCACACCACATGTACCACTATCTGATGAGCAGTTTATGTTCATTTATCAACCAGTCTTCACATAGACAGTACCACTATATTACATATGAGGAAACTAAGACCCAGAGAGGTTAACTTACTTGTCCAGGATCACAGTGAAATAGCAGATCCAGGCTTCAAGCTAAGACCTTAGAATTTATGAAACTAAACTACTATACCCTTCACAAAGGTTTCTTGGGAAGGCATGGTTTGATCAGAGACAGAATGGACAGGGTAACAGTCTCCATAGAGGCCTATAAAGGTTCACATTTGATCAAGAGATGAAAGGAGAATGATGAAGATTATGGACAGACTCCCCAGCCCCACTCCTGCTGGAAGGAGTGGTGACTCATTCAGAGAGTATAACTGAAGGTTTTCTTTACTTTCCCAGGAAGTACATGTTGTCGTAGTGCACAGAACAAATTTCTATCCATAACTCTCAGATCACAGGGAGTCAGGAACAGAGGAAGCTGGGGTAACCCTGTGTCTAGGGCCTAAAGTGGCATGGTGTGGGGAATGGGCATAGGGCTTGCACGAGGGAGAGTTTGTTGGAAGGGGAGCTGTGAGAACCAAGGCTTGGAGGATAAAGGCTCCTAGCAGAGGGAGCACCAGGCAAAGGTCTGAAAGCCTGTGTCTGAGGAAACTGGGCTGGACTGGGCTGGGTTTGTTGTCAGTCCTAGCATGTGTTTTCTCATTCCTGGATGTCGGTCCCTAGGTTGCATGTGGAAGAACAGCTGGAGGATTTGATAGGCCAGCACAAGGACCTCTGGGAATTCCATGTGAGCCCTTATCATTGTTACCAGCCAAAGCCACTCCTCCCCTGGCTTCAGTGTCTCTGCCAGCCTACCCAGGGTCCATCTACTGCTCAGGCCCAATGCTGTGAGGTAGTCCTTGACTCCTTCCTTCCTCTAACCCCCTCAACTTAGTCCTTCAGCTTCTGCCTTAAGCCTAGCCACTTCTTACCATCCCCCACTGCCACACCCAGCATCCGTGGCCGAGACCCTTACAGTAGCCATCGCTGAGCGTGCTGCCCTCATGCTCACCATAAGAGTGCTCATCTTGCTGTGGAAAGTCATTCCTTCGTTCAGCTAATGTCACTAGATGCGTCCGGCAGCATTCCAAAGGGACCAAGTCTTTGCTGTCCCCAAGCTGGCTGGGGGTGAGGGGAGCTGTACCCAGACTCTAAAAAATAAAATAAGTAGATAGATCATGTTATGCCACTTGGGAAGTCCTCTCTGAGCAGGTGACATCTGAACACAGGAAGGAAGGAAGGAAGTGAGGAAGTCATCTGAGTAAATGTCCTTTGGAGGCTGAACTGTGCCTGTTGTATTTGAGGAGAAAACTATAGGGGTGAGGGTGGGGTGGGAGTGTGGGAAGACATGAAGTTTGAGAACATGGTGAGCTATTGAGGGGAAAAGCATCCTCACCGGCGCCCGGCCATATCACAAGCTGCACATTGAATTAATAGATAGCTGAACGAAAGAACGCCCGAATTCAGGTAAGGACTTTCCGAGAC